TAGTTCCCACAGTCACGCCGCTCCCACTTAATGGATGAGACACTGGGCCTCTGCGAGGTGGAGGGATTTGATGAGGCCGCATGTGGCAGAGCCAGAGCCCGGGCAAGCCTTTGGCATCACTGCTTTCCCGTGCACTGAATGTCATTTCCACAGTGGGGCGGGGCCGTCTCTGATGAAGGCAGTCCTGGCTGGCCTCGTCTGGGATCTTACAGTCCTGGACAAACAGAGGCAGACGAAGCCCCTGGGAGCCCCTGCGTGGGTGTGCTGTGGTCTCCCAGGCCTGCTCTGCACAGAACTCCTCCTGGGCTCCTGGGTCCCGGCTCCAGCACCTGGCAGGCCCCATCGTGGATTGCCTCATGGTCCACCCACCCTCCTTGGCCTTGGCTTTGGCTTTGGGCTTTAACCATCACGCATGAAAACAGGAGAAAGCCGAGGTGGGAGGAACACTGCTTCTCCAAGACAGCACAGGCAGGCGAGGGTTCTAGGCTGTGCCCAGCCAGGCACTGTATTCTGGGTGCGCGGCTGACAAATCTCTGCAGCGACCTAATCATCAGGGCAACCTAATGATCCACGGAGGGATGCAGAGAGCTCCAAACTAAAGAACCCCAGTGGAGCCACTGCACGTGCTTAGCAAGGTAAGTTTTGAAGTTGCCCCAAGAAACAAAGCAGGCCCATCAGCACTGAGCACTGGACACCGGGTGTGGATACTGGCAGGCTACCGACGACAGAAAACCACAGTGCACTTTGGAAGTGGAGTCTGGGTGTTCTCACAACTGTCTCCCAAGTCAGGTAGAGCCAAAGGCCTCCCCAGGAGACCAGACCGCGGTGTGCAGGTGCAGCGGCCCCACCTCTGCAGCTGATTACAGAGCAGAGAGGGTGACAGAAACAGAGCAGAAGGGGAAGGGGGTGGCACTGACTCCCTTCCACCTGCAAACCACAGCCATTTTTGCAGGAACACCTGCCACGGGTCTGGGGACGTGAGAGACCCCACTGGGTTTCCACACGGCTGTAGGTGGAGCCCATCAGCCCACAGCCCCCACGTGCCCTGTGCTATCTTAAATTTATGTACAGAATCCAGGCAGCTCTCCCCGCAGCTCTGGCCCTCCCCCGTGTGCATGGCTCGGCAGGAAGACCCTCAGACCTCACCTGTGGCTTCTTTAGTCACACAGGGCAGCCTGGTCTCCCTTAGTGCCTGGGAAGCATTCCTGAAGCCTTGTTCCCTGGCCCTGGGCCAAACCTGCTGGGCTGGAACCACTCGGGAGGGGCTGGGGAGTGTGTGTTTATAGCATTTCCCCTGGGATTTGGCAAAAGCTCTGCCAAAGCCTGCATTATTTCCCCACCTTCTGGCAATCCTCATTCACATGCAGTCTGCGTTACTAAACACAACTAGTCCTTCTTCCTGGAAAACATATACAAGTTATATTTATTTAGAAGGCAGAAAGACAGAGAAGGTGAGACAGCTTCCGTTCTCTGGTTCACTTCCCAAATGCATGCAAAAGTCACAGCTGGGCCAGGCCAAAGCCAGGAGCCAGGAGCTCAGTCCAGGTCTCCCACCTGCGGAGCAGAGAACCTGCTGCCTCTCAGGATCCCCGTCAGCAGGAAGTCGGAGTCAGCAGCCAGAGCGGAGAAGGAAACCTGGGCGTGCCACCCGGGATGCTGGCATCTTAGTCACGAAGCTACATACCTCCCATCCTTTCACGTTTTGGGAACACAATCGTTGGCAGGGCATGCGTGTTTAGTTCCCCCTAAGTGGCCCTAATGCTAATGACGGAGCTTCAGGCTGTCCTGCATGCATGGCTCCCTTCCAAGGCACTAACTATAATTTTTAGATGTAATTTTGTTTTCACGCTCTTAACAGAGCATTCTGATCGGGTAAACCTCAGAGCACCACAAACCCAGCATCCACCCTGGCTACATAAATCACAGAGCATACGAGTGTAACAAGGCCACACAAACTAGCACCAAATGAAATATCTTTAACAGCCCAATTTTTTCCCTACCAATGTGGCCTGTAGTTCTCTTTCTCTCTCTCTTTTTTTATTTTTAACCCTGGTGTTCTGCAGTTAAGTGATACATTTCTGACAGGCGTTTTGAGACTGTCAGAGACAATATTAGTGCAGTGACAGCCAGGGACCAGAGCGGGCAGCAGGAACAGATGGCCTAGGCAAGGGCCCCCCGGAGGGACATGAACTCCATGTGTGTGGTGGCTGTTTTAGCGTCGGGGAGGGCTGCACGCTGTGGAGACTGAGTGGGGACTCTCAAACCTCGAGATGTGACCTGAACTCCAACTGCTGGATTTACTCGCTGAATTTAATAGATGGGCTTCATTCAATGGAGGAGGGGAGGGACCGGCACAGCCGCCCTGCTCATGAGCTCACTCTCCAGTCTGGGAAGAACACCTCGTGCTCACCGCACAGCTTTCTCACTGGGAATTGGAAGGTTTTTTTTTTTTTTTAATTTATTTTTTGCGGGACTCAGATGTTCATGTGTTCTGAGCTCAGCTATTTTTAATCGGCAGCACAGACGGTGGCGTAAGCACAGACTTCCTCTGTGGTCTTTAGGACGGCAGGTGTGAGAGCCCGGGCCACTGTCCCTGAGACTCAGGACGGTCATGTGTGCAAGGCCACGGCGAGGGCGCCGATGCCATCCCTCCGCTGTGACAATGAGCAGACAATGAGCTGCACAGACAGCACAGCCTTGGGAGACGCCTACGTCAGATGCAAGTGATGGGGGTTTTGTGAAAGGAGATTGTAATCCATCACACGGGGCCATTTCTAAAGCAGGAATTATCTGAAAATGAAGTAATCTGGGGATCCCTGAGAACACCCTGACACAGACCTGAGCTCAGCACCCACCTGAGCTTAAGGCCATCAGGTGGGAAAGGACCCAAGTTGTAGGCGCATGCAGGCTGGGGCGAGCGCCAGAACCCTGCTGCTTCCATCTCCACAGTAAGTGAAGAGGCACAAGGAATCCCTGCTGGAAACGCACACGGACCAAACGGGACCCAACAGAGCAGTACCCGGAGCACAGCAGAGCTCACACACAACAGGCTCGTCCTGCCCCTCTGCTGATCGCGTCCCCAACACCAGGCCTGAGTCCGGAAGCGGCTGCCCCCTGAGGACTGCATGTCTGTTCTCAGCTGCACGAGAGGCCCTCCACCCATCACTGTCAGCAGTGTGCGGTGCAGGAGACGGGACTCTCCCAGGCCAGGCCATGAAGAGTCAGGGAAGCCAGAGCAGGCGCTGTGGTGCAGCACGTCAGGCCGCCACTTAGGACACCTACAGCCCACAGGAGCGCCCGTTGGAGTCCTGGCTGCTCCACTTCCAATCCAGCTCCCTGCTAATGCACCTGGGAAGCAGCAGAGGATGGCCAACGTGCTTGAGTCCCTGCCACTCAACAAGGAAGACCTGGCCTGGCCCAGCCCCAGCTAGGTGATTTGGGAGGGGGTTGAACCAGCAATGCAAAATCTCCTTCCCTGTCTCCTCCTCTCTGTCACTCTGCCTTTCACATAAAAAGAGAAACAAGCACCCCTCCATACTCATTTTCTCCATTCTCTTCCTTTGTATCTGCCTGCTGGTGTGAGCGGTGACACCGTCAAAGCCACTGGCAGTCCGGACCCCAGAATGATGCGAGGACAGGACCACAGGTGGGGAGCCACCAGGCACTCTCTGAGAGCAGAGATTCTGTGGGTGCTCCCCAGAGCCCCGGCTCACATGGAGGCCACCCAGCCATGCTCAGAGTTGTGATGCACTGGGATGTGGGTGTGGTATGGTGATGTACTGGGATGTGGGTGTGGTGTGGTGATGTACTGGGATGTGGTGTGGTGTGGTGATGCACCTGTGATGTGGGTGTGGTGTGGTGATGTACTGGGATGTGGGTGTGGTGATGTACTGGGATGTGGGTGTGGTGATGTACTGGGATGTGGGTGTGGTGTGGTGATGTACTGGGATGTGGTGTGGTGTGGTGATGTACTGGGATGTGGGTGTGGTGTGGTGATGTACTGGGATGTGGTGTGGTGTGGTGATGTACCGGGATGTGGGTGTGGTGTGGTGATGTACTGGGATGTGGGTGTGGTGTGGTGATGCACCTGTGATGTGGGTGTGGTGTGGTGATGTACTG